TTAAAATGATTTTTGCTTTCTGACACAAGTTGGCCAGGCCTACCTTGTACCTTCCTTTCCCAGACCAGGCAGTTGAATTGCTGACAGATGTGTTTTCCTGGCTATTTCATTTTCAGTATCATTAAGATATTATTTTTAATCTATTTAAAATGTTTATAAAAACATTTTTTATTTTGCTTCTTATAATGTTACAATTATAATGTTTCACAGCCAATTCTGATGGTGTCTGTGTCCTATTGACACCGTCATTAGTATTTGAAAACTTACTTCTTGGCACAAAATGTCCAGGACTCATCTTATATCTTTCCTGCCATAGGTCAGAATTCAGCAATTAGGTAATATTTTCAGCAGCATGGTTTTCTAGAGATTTTATTTTTTCATTTTGGTTATCTTTTCACAATTAACCCAAAACTTATTCTATAGATTGTTTATTTATTTACAAGTGAAAGGATTTTTGGTTCACACATTATCATCAATCTTTATTTTCCTGCAGCCAAAAGTATTGCTTGTATTATTCACCTTTATTAAAATTTCATGCCTTAGTCTTATTCTTGGACCCACCTCATGCAAGGTTCATCACTTCAGATTTTCCTTAGGCTGTTTGCTAAAGTTTACTGCCATCATCTAGTCAATAACTAAAGTATCATTTGTAGTAGATCCCAAGGCACTGTGCCCATTAGGCCTTTTTTCATATTATTGAATTTAGAATAAACTCCATTACAACTCCAAGCCTCTTTGCTCAATATAAGATTGACAGTAATTTTGTTTTTTGAGTTGGGGGTCTCACTAGGTTGCCCAGGCTATTGGGCAGTGACATGATCACGGCTCCCCACCAACTCAACCTCCCGGAATCTGGTAATCCTGCCTAAGCCTCTAAAGTAACTGAGACTATAGGCATGCACTGACATGGCTGTCTAATTTTTAAATTTTTTTGTAGAGACAAGGTCTCACTCTGTTGCCTAGGCTAGTCTCAAACTTTTGGGCTCAAGCAATCCTCCTGCCTTAACCTCCTAAAGTGCTGGGATTATAGAGGCGAGCCACCGCACCTGGCCAACCTTTATAGTATTTTTTAATACTTTTTGCAATACTGAAAAATCTTGGAGATGTATTCAAATAAATATAAGAATGGTTGGCCTTGGCTATGCTAATTTGGATATGCTTTTATTCTAATCTGAAATGGAAATAAGAAACTATTTCCTTACTCTAGTAAAATATGACAGAGATGGGAGACAGGGAGACATATGGTAACTTCCTTCTGGTTAGCTAATTATTTTGGCATTTATCTGTCTCTTTCAGTAGCTTATCTTCCTAATATTTACTTCTATTTTCAATGAAATTTATTTTATACATTGATTAATTTGTTCTGTAATTAACAACTTCATTGTCCTAGGAATTTGTTATGTAGTGCATATAAAAGATTGAATGCATCTGTCTTTGTGGAGCTTTATGGTAAAGAAATAAATGAATTAATGTAAATAATAAGTAATTATTAAATCATAAAGAGAGATCACATATAATGAAGGCAGGAAATAGGTGACAGAATAGAAAGTTCATAGTCAAGAACTTCTTTGATAGGGTCAAGAGACATATGTGTTTTTAGTAAATGACCTTTAGCTCTGAAGGATAAAAAGGACCCAACTACACATTGGGCCCATCTGTGAGAGATGACAGAGTTGAATAGCTCTAGGAGACTAGAAATATTGCATGATCTGGAAACTAAAAAGGAATAGAATTTTAGGGAGGAGAATAAAATAAGTCTTAGAAGTAAGACTTTGTAATCCATGAAAAATTACTTAGATTTTATTGTAAGGAAAAAGGAACTATTAAAAAAAACTTGTAAGTAGGGAATATCAAATCTTGATCTGTGTCAGTATTATCTAGTAGAGACATTAAAAAGACAGATTTCTGGGACCTAACCTATAGATCCTGATTCAGTTCATCTGGGTTGGTTGCTGTATATCAGTTTTCACAACAACTTTCTTGGTTGATTCTGATCAACACCTAAATTTCAGAAGCATGGACTTAACTTTTTGCCCTTTCATAACCTCCTCATCTTATATACAATCTCCTCATTCTGTTTTCTTGCTTTTTTAAAAGTTTAACATTATGTTAGCTATTGATTGCTAGTGTTATTTTCCATTTGTTTTTTCTGTCTTCAAGAGCAATTTATTTTTCTGGGGAAATACAATAATTTGTTTCTTGTGTTCTTTCAGATTTGGAATCTAGATGTGAGACAAACACATTTTTGGGGGAAATAGTGTTCTTGGTGTGCGGTAATGGAAAGAAGTAAAATTCTTGAATTTGAGGATTTCATTTTCAGAAATGGCTGGCAAAACCAAAGCAAGATTGAATAAAGGGTCTGAAGAGGACAATTTTAACTAAACGAAAATAATTTCAGAAAATGTAACCAAGTGTAAAAACTATAACTTTCACGCCGGGTGCAGTGGCTCAAGCCTGTAATCCCAGAACTTTGGGAGACCGAGGCAAGAGGATTGCCTGAGCTCAGAGGTTCGAGACCAGCCTGGGCGACTTGGTGAGACCTCATCTCTATAATAAATCAAAAAGTAAGCCAGGTGTGGTGCGCACCTGTAGTTCCAGTTACTTGGAAGACTGAAGCAGAAGGATTTCTGGAGCCCAGCAGGGTGTGTGAGTGTGCTACTGCACTCCAGCCTGGGCAACAGAGTGAGATTCCGACTCAAAAAACAAACAAACCTCGTGACCCGCCCGGGCAACTTGGCAAGACCTCATCTCTACAATAAATCAAAAAAATTAGCCGGGCGTGGTAGTGCGTGCCTGTAGTTCCAGCTACTTGGAAGGCTGAGGTGGAAGGATCACTGGAGCTCAGCATGTCGAGGCTGCAGTGGCCAGGAGCATGCCACTACACTCCAGCCTGGGTGACAGAGTGAGATCCCAACTCAAAAAACAAAAACAAAAAAAAACAAACAAAAAACCATAACTCTCTTGCTGTATATCAGGGAATTTATAAAAGATACTCTATGACTGCATAAATATGAGAATGTTTTTAATTATAGTTCAGACTTTACTTATGATGAGATAATTTATTCTATTGAGGAAACCTGTGAATTTATGGAATATGATATACATGAACAGTGGACTTCATTATCTGAAAATTCCTACTGTTGTGAAACCTTATGTGCCCAAAGTGTGCAGAATGCCTTAGGTTTTCACAGAGACCTTAGAGTATACCACAAATATCATTTTGATGAGAAATTCTATGACTATAACATATGTGGAAAAGCCTTTAGAGTAGGTGGACAATTTACTTGGCACCATAGACTGTGTACTGGTGAGAAACTCTTAAGGTTATGGACAATCTTTTAGAGTATGTGGACAACCTACTGGATATTGAAGAATCCATCCTGGTGAAAAGCCCTATGAATGTAAGGTATGTGGGAAGGCTTTTAGGTTCTACGGAGAACATCAAATAACTCATATCGGTTAGAGACCCTACAAATGTGCCAAACGTGGGAAGGCATTAGATTTTGTTCACAGCTTAGATAACATTTAAAAAATTCATAAAGAATAACAGTAAAAAAAATTCATATGGAATAAAAATGTGAAGTGCTTGGAAGTCCCCAAGACCACTCCCATGTTCAGAGATTCAATGGAAGGGCTTATAGGACTCAGCATATAGTTGTGCTCATGGCTAAGATTTATTACAACAATGTACTAAGGATGTACAACTGGGTCATAAAGGAAAAAGACACAGGTGGAGTCTGAAAGAATCCATATGCAGGTTTCCTTGTGCTTTCTCCTTCCCATGAGGGGTCATACAGAGTACACTCTTCCCTCAGCAGCAAAAATATGTAACTGAGAATTTTAGCCTTAAAATGTATTCTATATACTCCTCTTTAAATTTAGCTTTAAAATTGTCCTTTAAACATTTTTTTATTTCCCCTCTCCCTCTAGGCACTCATTTACACTGCAATACTTGCCTCACTCTATGCTTTCTTAGAGATTCCAAGGGCTCATCTTAAAGCAAGCCAGGCATGAAGGTGGCGCTGCTGCAGAACTCTCACTGTTTAAGGAGAGCCTCAAGATCGTTAATGTACAGTTTGGCCCCAATTAGCGTAATAATGCCAACCTGGGCCTCTGAGAATTCTAGAGGCTAATCTTAGAACAGACTAAGTCTGAGCCTCCATTATGCAGCCTTCCCACCTGAAGGGATTCACTGACAATTAATCCATCATCCAGTCACAGCTAAGATGATGCCAGTCAACCCCCCAGTTGAACAACTACTCAAGATAGCCATCAAAACAAGGATGTTGTAGACCGCACACTGTACTCCCACTCCTCACATTTTCCATACCTATTTTCCTCTTAAAAACCCTTTCTGACAGCCTGAAATTTGAGATGCTACTGTATGCAGAAACAGTCTGGGCCCTGTGAGCCACCCTTATCAGTTAAGGAATAGTGAGAATACTCTTGAAATCTAAGTTTCTAGATGCCAACCAAGGGCCAACTTTGAAAGCAGACTTTTCCAAGGATAGCAGTATCAAGTCTGCTGTGTTAATCCTTTTCTGCTCAGTCATTTTCCTTGGCATCTTTATAGCAAAATTATTAATAGAATCCCTACAACAGGATCAAACCAACCTGCACTATTGGCCTTAGTTGTACCCTCCAGTGGTCCTCAATTTAGCCTGCTAAAACAAAGGCCTCAATGAGCCATAAAGTTCTACCTTAGAAAGCCAAGTTACTTCTTCTTCCTTATGTTTCTGTATTAATCTTTTCATTATCTGGTCGAAGGAATCAATTTAGGCACAGTACAACTCTGTCCAGTATTAAAGCTCCCCTGGATGCTGAGACAATGCCATAACAGAGTACATTCAGAAGTAAAATTCTAGAAGGCACATGAAGTACCCATGGAAACAATTTACAGTTGTTAGGGTATCCTAACTAGGACCTGCATTAGTCAAGTAGTATAGATATAATAAGTATGAGGATTTAGGAGCTGATCAGTGAAGGACAGGACCACAAGAGACAGTAATACATAACAAGTTTATTGGGTAGCATCTGGACAGGGTTGCATGAGAGGGCAGTTCCCTCACTAGCAGCAGCATGAGGCCACTACCCAGAAGGCAAAAAGGATAAGGAACCTACCAGGAGAGAAGGGGAAATAAAGGCAACTTACGTTTTGAGGTGATGTCTAAGGGATGTTGCTTAGCGGCAGAGTGGGGAGTTTCATGGGGTATGCAAAGTAGGTAGACTCTACATGGCCAAAAAAAATATTTGAACTATTGAAAGCAATTGGATATGTGAGAATTTGGGTTTGGCACTGGTGGGCTTTGGGCAAAAGGTCCTGGCCTGCTGTGAAGAAGTAAAGAACTTGGGGGTCAAGTTAAGCAAATATACAGAGGCCAGCTTTGGTCCATATCATAACAGCAGATTAATAGGGCTCCTACTGTGGCCTCCCAGAAATGAGGCCTGCATTCTCAGGTTGCCAGTCCCGTTCAAATAATTCAGTTAAGTTCTTGGCTTCAGAGGCACTGCCTGAAGGCAGTCAATTTCAGGTAGGTTTGTTTGTCCGCAGCATCACTTTATCCATCTCAAGAGTCTGAATGGCATCTGGAGGTGTGCTGTGTGACAAGTGCTGGAGCATGGGTCCAGCACCCTGAGCTGTTGTTCCTGTCAGGAGTGATCATAGGCCCAGCAGCCAGTTGAAATTCCAAGAGCAAAGTGGCTTTGAAAGGCAAGCTGCTGTGTTCTTTTTTGTTCTTTGGGAGAAAGAAAACTTCCAGAAGGAGCTTTGAAAAACAAAGATGAATACTCTTCTCCTCTCTCACCCCCTGCCTTCCCAGGTGCTGGGTCTTGGGATTTTTCCCTGTTGTTGCAAAGACAATATGTTAAGGGTACCTACACAATGCATATTTGTATACCTAACTCTTAACTGTATCCCACAATTTTAAAATAAAAAATATGTATTAGAAAACAAACAAAAACAATGTCAATATGTTCTATTTAGTAATGTTAACTTTACATTTTTCTCAACCATTTTTTACTCTCATCCTTTTTGTCTCAAAAGAGATACGCAAAAGCATTTTCAAAGAAATAATATTTGTCTATAACTTAACAAGAAAAATACATTAGTCCAGGAATTGGTCAGGACAAAATCCTGAAGCTTCAAAGGTTTTTTTTTCCAAGTGGGTTTACATAACTTTCCACTCATTTCATTCTGACCATTTAGCCAATAAACAGCCTAGAAAAGGGCAATTTCTTTCTGGGCACAGCTGTGTTTAATAATCAAACTGCCTTACTAAGGTGAGTATACCAGGAAAAAGATGAGAGAAGTAGAGTTAGACTATTTCCAATTCATTGTTGCAACCTTCTACTAATCAAAAAAGCTGAATGTAATAAGTCAACAGCAGTAGGACATCCCCAAGAAGGGTTGGGCGTTCACAATCTGTCAAAAGCGAGGGACACTCCCTGTGACATGGCCTTGAAGCTTTCAGCAGGAATCACAAATCAGGAATGAAATCAGTCTCTGCGTTAGAAATACAGTATAGAGCTGATCAGCAGCTCCATTTCGGATGGTCCCATCAGAGAATAAACTCTTTCCCGTGGGTACCTGCAAGAGATCCAGCCAGTACAGCTAGCAACCATAATGTTTTCATAGTTTATATCTCCACAGACAGGTGTTCTATGTTTTGTCTCCCCAGACAGGTGTTCTGTGTTTTCATAGTTTATGTCCCCACAGACAAGTGTTCTAAATCTTTAATACTTTCAGAGTCTGAGTCCATTTATTGAACAGAGCAATTTTTCAGCGTAAGTTCATGTGCTGAGGCTGAAACAGCTCAGGTCAGGTTTCAGCTTAGAATGAGGTCAAAGCATTTAGTTGTGAATTCAGGATTCCAGAAAAGCCAATGGTTTTTCTCTGGCAGCAACAAAGCCTACACTGCTTATGATACACTAAAAAATGGACACATCAACCCAAATGCCCATCAGCTTGTGAATGGATAAGTAAAATGTAGTATATCCATACAACGGAATAGTAGCCATACAAGATAAATGAAGAACTTTGGAGTATATCAGAAAGATTTCTTAATAAGAAACACTATGAAATGTATTGAAAATTGGATAACAATAAGATTTTATTTCCATGTTAACATGATTATGTATTAATATTAATGATAATCAGAATTTGTATATTGAGAAGATACACAAATATAGGAAATGTATTAACGTCAAAGAATTTTTAATGTAGTAAGTTAATATATTAGTGACTTTTATTCCTCCCCATTAGTATACTCATACTTGAGAAAAATTCTGTAAGTATGAAAATTAGAGGCCAGGCTCAGTGGCTCAGCCTGTAATCCCAGCACTTTGGGAGGCCAAGGCAAGTGGATTGTGTGAGCCCGCAGGTTTGAGACCCACCCGGACAACTTGGCAAGACCTCGACTCTACAATAAAATAAAAAATTAGCCGGGCGTGGTAGCGCACGCCTGTAGTTCCGGCTACTTGGAAGACTGAGGTGGAAGGATCGCCGGAGCCCAGCAGGTCGAGGCTGCGGTAGCCAGGAGCGGCCAATGCACTCCAGTCTGGGCAACAAAGTGAGACTCCAACTCAAAAAATAAGAAAAAGAAAAGAATTACTTTCTTTTCATGCATACTAATTCAGCATAATCTATTTCATTTGTTACTTATACGTTGCTTTAGTCAATGTTAAAAGTCTTCCAATTCCATTTAATTCTTACACTTAAACTCATGCTAGAAAATAACCCTCTTAATATAATAAATGTAAGAATGGAAGTTCTAACTCAATCATCTTTACAAATATACTTCTATTCTTCTATATTTAGTTGGAATTTTTTTCACTATTACAAAAGGATAACATGTTTATCTTCCTTTTTAATGTAAGCAGAATTTTCTCTAAGGTGTATATATAAGATAACCATAAATCTGGAAATGGGTGAATATACATAGTGAATGATTTATTGATATTGCATTACAATAAAATATATTTGATGACATTAAATATATTCAATGTGTTGTGTTTCATTATCAATATACAATTCTAGGTACTATACTGTAGTGTGACACACTGCCTTAATACAGCATTTTCATTAATTCCTTCACGTACATTTTGTTATTTATGCTGTCATAGTGATTTTGTGTATTGATTTTCACTTAGAAAACCTGCACTTTTTGGATACCACAAAAGTAAGGAGGATTAGTTGTATCTTAAAATTGTATTTACGGACTTCTTTACCCTTCTTCACATGTAAGTAGTTAACGGCTCATTTATAAGGAATAGATACGTTTAACTTTATTACGTTTTGCCAATTGTTTTCCAATTTATGCCAATATGTTCTCATCCACCAGTGAAATATACTAGTCTTATAACTCCATTTCTGTTATGATTCAATGTGTATCTTCATGATTACTAGTGACTTGAGTGTGTCTTCTCATGTATTTATTGGCAAGTTATGCTGCTTTTACCCATGACTTTAGTACTTATGTGCTTTTTCATTTTCACTTATTCATCTTTTCTGTATAGATTTGCAAAGTTACCCAGATATGTTGTTTGTTTCTCATTCTTTACATAGGACATATTTCTTTTCTTCTAGATAGATGGAACTCCAAGTAGACAGAATTTAGTTGTTTTTTTTTTTTTTTT